TGGGTCTTCCTTCCCTCCCAGTGGCTGCTGTGGGGCATCCTGCAATGATCTCACATCTCATCTTTGCCTCCTCACTAAGGTGTTACTGCTGAGCCTGCCTCAGGGCCAGAAGGTGCCCTCACCCAGACACCTCGACGCCTTCGTGTGGAGCAGGTTGACCATGGGCCCCACCAACTCCCCAGGGTGCCCCAGAAGGTCTGGGAGAGAGGGCTTCACTGCTGGAGGCAGGTGTGGGGAGGGCCTGCAGACAAACAGGAAGTGCCTCTGAGGGACTTCAGGGCCCACTGGGAGGCGGGGTGAGCGCCCTGCCCACTCCCTGCAGTCTCTCAGTGGCTAAGGGAGGGCCTTGTCCTAATCATATATGCGTGTGTGTATGCATATACATATGTATACACTTATAATGGAAATATATAATTTATATCTTACATATTCTATATACAAAATATAAATCTATAATCTATGTAAAGGTATATTTTTACATAATATATGTGATATGTATATTTGTGTGTTAGGCTGGTCTTACGTTGCTATGAAGGAATACTTGAGACTGGGGCATTGATAAAGAACAGAGACTGAATTGGCTCTTGGCCCACAGTTCTGCAGGCTGTGCAGGAATCAGGGCACTGGCATCTGCTTCTTGGGAAGCCCCAGGAAGCTTCCAATCACGGTGGAAGGTGAAGGGGGAACAGGCATATCACATGGCCAGAGCAGGAGTGAGAGAGAGGGCCAGGGGAGGTGCCACGCACTTAACCAGATCTCGTGAGAATCAGTCACTACCGTGAGAACAGCACCAAGCCATGAGGGATCTGCCTCCATGAGCCAAACACCTCCCGCCAGGGCTCATCTCCAACACTGGGGATTACATTTTAACATGAGACTTGTCAGGGACATATATCTAAACTATGTCAATATATATACAAAAAAATACTGTTGTTGATAATCTAAGTTTTACGAGTGTATAGTCCATTTTCATACTGCTATGAAGAAATACCTAAGACTGCATAATTTGTAAAGAAAGAGAGGTTTAATGGACTCACAGATCCACATGGCTGGGGAGAGCTCACAATCATGGCAGAAGGCAAAGGAGGAGCAAAGGGACGACTTACATGGCAGCAGGCAAGAGAGCACGTGCAGGGGAAACTCCCCTTTATAAAACCATCAGATCTCATGAGACGTATTCACTCTCATGAGAATAGCATGGCAAAAACCCACCGCCATGATTCAATTACCTCCCACTGGGTCCCTCCCACGACTCGTGGGGATTATAGGAGTTATAATTCAGGATGATATTTGGGTGGGGACACAGCCAAACCATATCCACAAGTTACTTTTTTCTCCTTGATTTGTATTAAAGCCCTCAACTCAGAGCAGCCAGTCTGGGCAAACCCTTTCTTCGTTATCTCCTAGCTGACTAGCGAGGCAAGAGCGCAGCGTGGCAGGAGGCCTGGCTACTGTGTTCAGAAAGCCAGGCTTACAGGACCACCTGTGTTTCTAGATCCTTCTCTTTCAAAGACATGACCATCAGTTGGAAGGAAAAAGAAACACACGCTGCTTGTGGGAGCAGGGAGAAACTGCTTCACGGGTGAGGGGGTTGACTTTGGAGCGATGGAAATGTTTTGGAACTAGATGGAGGTGGGGACCGCACACCGTTGTGATGTTCTAAACGCCACTGAATTGTTCACTTTAAAATGGTTAATTTTATATGAATTTTTTAAAACATTTCCCTCCCTGCTTAGATCTTCTCAGTCCCTGGAAGTGATTCCCAGGCTTTTTCCATCCATGGCTTTCATCTCCAGCAGCAGCAGGCGGGGGTGGCAGCGAGCAGGGTCCCCAGGTCCTGAGAGAGGTTAGGCACTTGCCCCAGGCTGGAGCCCCCTACGCAGTTCCCCAGACCCCCGTGCATGGGAACAGCAGCCCTCCCTGTCCAGCACAGCCCCTGAGCCCCCAGGCCCTGCCCCTGGACTGGGGACCTGGAACTCAGAGGTGACTCGCACATGCACCTGCCAGAAGAGGAGAGGAGACACAGGCCTGGCCGGACCCCAGGGAGAGCCTCAGGGAAGGCATGCTGCAGGAGAGGCACTCAGAAAACTGGGAAGGACAGTTGAGGTGCAAGCATAGAGGGAGGAAGGGATGGGCAAGCCAGGAAGAGGGTCAGATGCAAGGGGCCAGGGCCTTCAATGCCAGTCGAGACCCCCATCTTGGAAATCCTGCCCTTCTCTGTCCATTGGAGGCACAGACGGTACTGACAGCCTCTGACTAGGGAGGCCTCCCATGGGAGGAGCCCCCCTTCCTCTCTGCCATCCCCAGTACTTCCCAGCCCCCTCAGGTCCTGGTGTAATCAGGTCTTTGCACATCACCTTACCACCTTTTGAACACACAGGTTCCCTAAACATACAGTGACATGTAGATAGAAACAACTGTCACCAGTGAGGGGCAGTTCTTCACCCCCGAATACTAATAAGGTCTTTAAAACATCAGAGGCAGAAAGCCTGGGGAATGAATGGAGAGTGGGTTCTACAGGGGAGCAAGGAAGGCGTGGTCTCCAGCTTGCGGGTGTGTGCAGAGGCTGAGCTCGCTGAGAAACTCCCCGGCATTGGGTCCCATGCCTGTGAGCACTCACTATTTCCGGAGCCTGTGCACAGTACTTGGGCGTGCAGGGAGGACTCTGCTGTGGACCCTGCTGTCTGTCTAGCAGGCAAGAGAAGCCGTGGAAGAGGTGGGTGTGTGCAGAGAGCGGGACGTGTGGACCGTGACGGGTGAAAACAGTGGGCTTCGGGACTTTACTGGGGAGGTCAAGTAGCCTGTACTATCTAGAGCTTTGGGGCCACTGCTGCCTACCTTTGTGACCCCAGCAAGCACCGACTTCTCAGAGCCTCTGCTTCCCAATCTCTAAAATGATCAGAAGTGTTACAAGTGCCCAGCCCAGCTCAGCAGCACTGGGAAGGGCCTGGAAGTCAGGTCGGGCCCACGGTGGCGGGAGCTGGCACACCTCTTCCTGGATATCCGGTGGGACTCTGCCCCCCTCTAGAAGGCTTTGTGGCTCTTCGAGGCTCCTTTATTCATTGCCAAACTTTTTCATCTGTGAAGCATCACACACGCATAGGTGCTCAGAGTTCACGCACAGGTCTGCATGCGGGATGTACTGAACGAGATTGAGGCCCAAATGCGGGACATACTGAATGAGATTGTTTGGGGCCTTCCCCTCACCCCACTTTCTGGGGAAGTGTTGCCTGTTCGGGCCCTTTGTCCCGTCTCTTCCGGCAGCTCACAGCAGGTTGCCAGCACCACCTGAAAAGGCCTCTGACCAGGAGTGTCTGAGTCCAGCAGCCACACTAGACAGCACCCCTGCTAAGAAAGGAGGATGCAGGCAATGCAGCGACTGCCACCACCTGTGCTGTGTCTTTTTCTTCATGCTGACCCAAGAAGGTTTCATTTCTTTCCTTCCCTAAAATAAAGCACGGATGAGTTCTATGATGTTTTATTTCTGTATGAACATAGCATGAGCCATTCAGCTTTTCTTGCTGATTGGGAGGATCTGTCCTGAGTTTCTTCTCCTTCTCTTATGTCCTTTCCTCTTGTTTTGTTGCTTTCTGCTTCTACTACTCTTCTTTGTTAGGACTGAGAAAAAAAAATATGACCACTGAAGGTTCCAGAGAAGTCATCATTCCAGAAGACATTGGGGGAAGCAAAGATTGTCACTCTCGGGAGCACACTACCCAATGCTGCCCCCACACTCTACCTGGCTTCCATTCTGCTCACTCTGTTTCTCCCTGAAACCACAATTTACCGCAAAGCCACCACCTCAGGGTGCGGCCACCCCTGACTTTGGGGCCCCGCATCCCTGCACTCATGACCAGGCCCCGCACGACTACGGCTGCATGTTCCCGACTCTTCCCAGACCTAAGGGAGAAGCTGACACTGGAGAGGCCCCTACCACTATCCCAGCAGCCACATGCTGCCATGTTGGCTCTGCGAATGCTGGCGTCACATCTCATCCGGTGTGACCTGTTCCTCAATGTGGCAGGATTTACAGTCCTGGTGTGGCACCAGAGTCCTCCTCCCTGAGGTCGTAATTCGTAGAGAAGCGCTCACTTATGGAGGCACACCCTGGGTCACTTTTGTCCGTGTGCTTTTGATAGTGATCCCCTGGGACAGGGTGGAGGGAGGGGCGGCCACAGAAAAGGAACCACACCCCTGGGCCCCTGGTTTTTCCGTTTGTTGCATCCCCATTCCATGCCCTTTCCTGTTAAAATTGAGCACACTGGTGAGCCTCAAGTCAGCGCTTGACGCCCTGGGTCTGAGCGACTGAGAGCCAGCGACAGCCACTGTCGCCCCCACCTGCCAAGCACCCGCTCTGTGCCAGCGCTGGCCAGGCGCCCCACCCACTCCACTTCTGATGCACAGGCACCCTGTCATGTAGGCAGTGCCGTCTTTTTAAATGTAACTTCAGTTTTTCATCTTTTAACTTCAGTTGCTCATCTGCAGTCACCAGCTGAGATTTGAACCCAGCCAATCTGACTCCTGAGCTCCTCTTTCCTCCCACTTAGACTTTTCCACTGAGCCCAGCAGCACCTTAGAGCATATCTAATGCACGTGCCTACTGCCTTCGTCTCAGTGCAGCCTGTCCCCACCAGCTGTGTCACCTTCATCCGGCTGTCAGCCCCTGGTGACTCTCCCGTTGCAGATCAGAGACCAGACTCCAGGGGTGGAAAGTGGGGGTTCTAGACCAGCCCCTCTCTGCTCCTAGAGCTCTTGTCTACGCAACTGCCTGGTGCTCAGGGGATGACGAGGCGCCTGCCTCTCTCAGCACGTTGTGTGTCCTGGCAACAAGGGTGGGATCTGTCCTTTTTCATAGCTCCTGCACACCTGTGCTAGATGTCACCTGGCTCCATCCAGTGACGGATTCATATTCTCTGTTTCGACATCTTCGGTTGCTGGACAACTAAAAGCCATCTTCAGTACCTTTAATGCCATCTTTTTTTTTTCTTCTTCTTTTGCAGCAATGGATGGTGTGCCTTTTATGATTTCAGAGAAGTTTTCTTGTGTTCCAGAAAGTGTAAGTGTTATGCATGATCGCCCTTCCCCTCTGCCACCCCCAGCCTGAGGTCCCTCCATCCTGATTTACACGACACGCAGGGCTATTCTGGTGGCACTCATGCTCCTTCCCCCACTGGAATCTTGTCTGCCTGCGTGTCCTCTCTCTTGCTGGAAGCTGAACCCCACAACCCAGTGACGGGAACTCCTGAGGTTGGGGGTGGATCGTGTGCATCTCTGGCCCTATCAGCCAGTGCCCCATGTAGCAGATGTTTAAGAAATGAAGAAGGCCGGGCGCGGTGGCTCAAGCCTGTAATCCCAGCACTTTGGGAGGCCGAGGCGGGCGGATCACGAGGTCAGGAGATCGAGACCATCCTGGCTAACACGGTGAAACCCCGTCTCTACTAAAAACACAAAAAACTAGCCGGGCGAGGTGGCAGGCGCCTGTAGTCCCAGCTACTCGGGAGGCTGAGGCAGGAGAATGGCGTAAACCCAGGAGGCGGAGCTTGCAGTGAGCTGAGATCGCGCCACTGCACTCCAGCCTGGGGGACAGAGCAAGACTCCGTCTCAAAAAAAAAAAAAAAAAAAGAAATGAAGAAAACAACAGCTGGGGGATGGGAAAGTAGCAAGAGTCTGTCAGACAAGCTCAGGTGCACCGAGCCTTTGCCATGCCGCACGTGATTAACCCAACCTGAGCTTCCCTGGTTGTGAATATTCTTTGTCTCCCAAGTCCAACTTAGTAAGTTTTGTTCTTTGTTATTTAAGGATGACAGTTTCCTGTAGAAAGGAGGCTGCCTCATTTTCCCATTGTCATTGCTGCATTCTGCGCTCTGACATGGGGGCCGCCACGCAAATGTGGTGCCTCTAGCTGTGGTCTCCTGCCCACGCCAGGCCACCATGGACCTCACCATCCACATCAGCACTCTCACACAGGCCAGGCCCACGCCATCTTTATCAAAGGGACCGAGTGAGCTGGCCAGAACCAAAGGCCGACTTCAGACTGTGAGGGGCGGCCACCCTGCATGGCAGTGGGGTCTATGCCTCTCACTGCTAGGGTCGGCCCTCTGATGACGCCAGCCCCCAAGCTGGCAGTGGCCCCCTCCCAGCTGCACAGGCTTGGCCGACACTGGCTCAACAAACCCGTTTCTGGTTTTGATCCTTTCTGCAGAAGTTGGCCTTGAGTAGCTAATAAACATGAAGGCCCCAGCTTGGGCACAGCTAAAGAATCCTTCAGTGTTTTTCTTGGATCCAGCTTAAAACCACCCGGCTTGCGATTTGACCTGCTCTGTAGTTTCCATTTTCATGAAATAGAATAGGCCTCCTCTGAACCCTTCTGGTAAGCAGCTTAATCTTGAAAAATGCTCGTGACGTGACATGCGGAGCTCGAGTAACTTCAGCCGACTCCACAGGGCCGCGTTGCCATGGCGACGCTGGCGCCTCTCCCGCCGTTCCCTGGGAGAGGCTGCTCTGTCCTGCTCACCAGCTCCAGTTGGGAGAATTTAGTGGGGTGGTTAGAGCCTAATGACACAGCAGCTGCACCTCTGCTGGGTCCCGGGCAGCATGGGCAGGCGGCCCCGCTCTCGCGCCCCTCGGGCTGGCAGCACAGAGAGCACCACACTGTTCCGTGGCTACCGGCAGAGCAGCCGCCAGCGAAATGTGTGGCTCGGTGGCCCCGTCCCAAGATCGCCCTCGCGAATGTGCTGCCGCCGCCTCGGCCAGGGCTCCAAGGCCACACAGCCAGGCCCGGTGCTCTGCGCTCCCTGCTCTTCTCAATGCAGTGCCCCGCAGCCCCGCCAGGGGGCTGTCGCTTTGAATGGACGAGGGAATGAGGAAGGGATTTAACTCGCAGCTGCATCGCCAGGAGGCGCTGAGACCGGTTTTGAGTCTGGGTCCTCGGACTCCAGAGCCGGCCTCTCAGGAAACCCCTGCTGGCTTCGCGGAGGCTCCAGCTCCACTCCCACCGCTGGGCTATCGCCCTTCAGGACCATGAGAGCCCTGGGGTTCTGTCGAAGGCCCTCAGGTTTAGCCTGGGCCCCAGGAGGCTGGGCCAGGGACCCCTCTGGGGAACACAGAACACTTACGTGCCCAGCAGGGACTCAGACCAGGAGCCACATGGACTGGACGCCCTCCGCCCTCCGAGCCTCTGAGTCCAGGCTTCTGTGGGCCTCCAGTTCACTCACTGCCATGTGTATTTGATTTTTCATGCTGTCTGTTGAAAAGCCAGCATTTTTTTTAAGTCTCCAATCTTCATGAAATTATAAAAACTTTCATTAAAATGCAATGTTATCATTTTTTACCACATTGATTTCTCAAATGATAATTGATGGGCAGTTGTTTCATTTACCTGGCATTTCCAAAGACCTGGAATCCCCCCAGCTCCTGCCCTGGATTCCCCCTAAGGAACTCTTCCTCCCTGGGGTTCCTTAAACCTCCTGCCTTACCCAGACACAGTGGCTGGGTGGCCTCCAGGGAGAGCTTGGGCACCTCCAGTTTACAGCTGCAGCGAGAAAGAGCAAATCTTGCCTTCGTGTTCCGCTGGCAGGGGGAGAAGAGAGGTGAAGCAGGGCAGCCATGGTCAGTCCTCCAGGAGACCTGGACCCCTGTGAGTGCCACCGACCACAGCTAGGCAGAGGTCCCGCTGCACAGGGGCTGGCGCCTTGAGGGCCACATTCCTGCAGCAGGCTGTATTGTCACTTCTGCCACCCCCACGCATGACCGAGAATCCCACTGACTGTCTTCGTGTGGAAAGTGGGTGGAGAAACGCTAGATCACACCATGGCTTGAGACATTAACATTGTCATGCATAAAAGTAAGTGTGGGAAGAGCATTTTCCAGTGATTTAAATGGGCGACTTCATCTGTATTTTCAGATGCAGCCCTTTGATCTCCTGGGAATCACCATCAAATCTCTAGCAGAAATCGAGAAAGAGGTAAGCAAGCCATCGGGGAGGGGAAGGCAGGCCTGGGCCATCGCCCGCACACCGGCATCTCTCGTGTTCCCCTAGGGACCCACTCCAGGAGAGGGACAGGTGGAGGTGTCCCTTTCTTCTGAGAAAAACACTTTGGTTTCACCCAAATGTGTTCCTTAGAAAAAGTAACTTGATTCTAATGTATTTCCTACTTCCAGTCAAATATGACCCACATCTTGTCTTCTCTAAGTCAGAAGGTTTTACATGACAGACGGAGCCTCAGTTCTCCTTTTTTAAAGGAAGTCTCAGCTTTGGGAAGGTGGAGGTTGGAAGACAGGCACCAGGTTGACTTTTCTTCCTCCATTTGTTTTGTTTTATTATTTGCCACCAGGAGGAGTTTCGGGAAATGACCGAGCCTCTCCACGATTTAGGGGCAGGTCAGGGAACCTTCCACTGTGCTTCATAAGCTGGAACGCATCTGGCAGCCTGGCTTCAAACAGTTTGCACATTTTCCTAATAAGAAAGAAACCCAGGACTGGTGTGCGGATGATAACTCTGAGGAAAGGGGGTTGAGTCAGACCACCAGGGCCCTCCTGTTTCCTTAAGACAGCACAGGGTGTGTGGCTTCTCTTCTGTAGAGCGGGTTGTTAAGCAGTCACACGCCACAGCCAGCTCTCCTCCGAGAGGAACATTCATCTCAAAGATGGAAATGGTAGAACCATTTCAATATTCTCCATTCCTTGGGGTTTTCTCTCGTGTACCCAGCTAGCAGAAGCCGGTTGCATTATTGAAAGACGGCTGAAATCAAGCAAAATTGAATCAATGTAGTACAACAAATTTCTAAACCTGTCATAGCAAAAACAAGACAAAAAAGTCCCCCTTTGTCTTTGATTTTCAGTAAATCATAAAAACCAACCTGATTGTCATATATAGATTTTTCTTTTTTTGATAACTCAGGGAAAAAATGGCTGGCTAGGACATTGGAAACATAGGCGTGCATAAAATTTCACGCCTGCCCCTCTCAGAGCAAGGGAGCTGTGGGTGGCCGTGAGGTCCACCTGCTTATGGACGCCCCATTTGCACAGGACCTTGCGTGGGGTGCAGCCCAGGGGATGTGGGCAAGGCCTCAGAGGGGCTGCGGCTGCCACAGGTGGTCACCAGGGCAGAGGTTACACTGACATACCTCCAGACCAGCCCCACTCCACCGTGGACGGGGGCAAGTCCCATCCCCACTGTTGACCCTGGGATCACGGCAGAGCCTGTCTCATGCGGTGCTTTGTAATGCCAAATGGGTATAGGTGGGACGTGCCGGTAGCAAGGGCCCCAGCGTCGGGCCATCTCCCCTCCCATTCTGCACCGGCCTGCCTGTGGGCCTAACGGTGGCACTGTTTAAGCACCTGCTGTGTGCTCAGCCTAGGGCCTGAGGCTTTCCATACATGATCACTGGTTCCTACCCCAGGCCTCATTCCTCCCTGTGTCATGAGGAGAAATGGAGACTCCGAGAGCTAGAGTAACTGGCCCAAGGCAAGATGGAGACCCAGTGCGTCGCGCTCCAAATCCTCTCCACTGTGACGGAAAGTGGTGGCTCTGTGTCCTTCCAAGGGGGCGCTCTAGGCTGGTGGGAAAATGGGGCCTAGGAGGCCAGTCAGCCTAGTTCCTGACCCTGGTGGGCCTTTGAGGTACTGGGGTGGGGTGAAGTGGGTGAGGGTCCCAATGTGGGGCCCAGGGCGTGTGGTGGGAACCTGTAAACCTTATTCTCTTCCCCACTCTAAGGACTGAAATCTGTGATTCATTACAATGTAGTGTCTCAATGTCAGGCTCTCCCGAGTCACAGTGTGGCCACCCCTAGGAGGTGCAGAGCCAGGGGCGGGGGCACACCCCGGAGTCAGTGCCTGGCTAGAATTTCAGATCTTCCACTGACTTTTCTGAGCCAACATTTCTTTTTCTGCACAATCAGGATAGTAATAGTGCTTAGTCCAGAGTCTGTGTGGGTTTAACTGCAAAGGTCCAGTGAATGGCCTGGACCAGTGCCTGCTTCAGTGGCTGCTGGCTGCCACCATTATCACAGCCACCACCGTCACCATCATTACCATTCTCCTTGTCCACAGAGAAGGGCGTGAGTCGGCACAGGCCCACCCATTCCGCTGTCCCACTGCTCTGTTGCTGGGGCCGAAAGTGGCATCCCTATGGACCAAAGCCAGCTGTATTTCTTGGTTTTAGCGATGGGTTTAAAAAAAAAACAGGTCTGGGCCAGGTGTGGTGGCTCACGCCTGTAATCCCAGCACTTTGGAAGGCTGAGGCAGGCAGATCACCTGAGGTCAGGAGTTTGAGACCAGCCTGGCCAACATGGTAAAACCTCGTCTCTACTAAAAATACAAAAAAAAAAAAAAAAAAAGCCAGGCGTGCATGGTGAAGCACATCTGTAGTCCCAGCTACTCAGGAGGCTGAAGCAGGAGAATCACTTGTGCCTAGGAGGCGGAGGTTGCAGTGAGCCGGGATTGCACCATTGCACTCCAACCTGAGCGACAGAGTGAGACTCCATCTCAAAAAAAAATAACAAAACAGGTCTGTATTTGCTATTAAAGTAAATTAAAGTTGATGTAAAGAAACGTGGGGAGTGGGGAGAGGTTAGAACCTTAAAACAGGGTAGAAAGCCGTAACAAGTATCGCCGCAGTCGAGAGCACCACAGAGTTTTCCATTTAACTTGAGGATTTAAAAGTTCCTTATGCCACTCATTCATGTGCACAGCCATTCATGTAACGTTGATGTCCACACACTCTGGCCAGCTGGCTCCTTCCGCAGCCATGGCAAAGGCTTTTCTCCATAAATAAACCTGAAGTTGCTTCTTTTAGCCACTGAACTCAGCATTGCTCATGGGAGTTGGGGGCTCAAGGAGAAGTGGTACCCAGAACCAAGCGACTGGCTGTCACTCTTGGGCTCTGCGAGTTTGACCCTGGCATGGGCTGAGTGTCCCCTGGGTCGAGATGAGTTTGATTTTGTGCCTTTCATTTATAACAGGTCTGGCTGCCCTTGATGAGGAGCCTGGGGGTGGAGAAGTCTCTGCTCAGAAATTTGCTTTGTTCACTGTAAACCTTGGTGTTTTATACCATTAAATTAAAAAAAAAATAGAGTAAATATAAGTGGGAGACTGCTTTCAGGTTCAGGGGCATAGACCTTTGACCACGCTCCCACTTGTCCAGAACAGCTCCCCAGGCTCACCCGGGATTCCCAAACAGGGTGGCGAGCCCAGCCTCCAGGGAGAGGCTGCTCTGTACCGGGCAGGTGCTGCCCTTCACGATCTCTCTGAACCCCGTGGGAGGAAGTGGGGTCCACCCATTTACAGAAGGCTGGACCCAAGAAGTTAAGTGATTGGCCAGCCTCCCACAGCAGCAACCCAGAGCTGAGCAGTGGGGCTTGAGTGTGACCTGGCTGAATACATGACCGTCTTTATCTACTACAGAGTGGTCCCAACTTGAAGGGAAATAGAAGTGTGAGCTCTGAGGCAGCACTGTCCTCTCCTCCCAGAACTGCAGCCAGTGTCCCTCCTGCCAGTGTTAACTGTCCTCACCATGCCCTGCCTGGGGGATGTTTCTGAATTGAAGCCCAAACACAGTTGCCACCATTCAGCTTCAGGGACGGCCACCCTCCAACAAACCGTGTGACCCTGTGCACTCTGAGCATGGAGGTTAGGAACATGGGCAGCCAAAGGGAGCTCCCCAGAGCCAGCCAAGCACAGCTGCCCCCACCCCCACAAGGACACAGATGGCCTGGCCCAGGAGCTGCCCAGCACTGATTGACAAATGGGGTATCACCTGGTTAGGGGTGGGCAGTGTCCCTCAGCCCCCAGCATCCTGAGGGGCCCCAGGGAGCACGCACTGCTGGGCCCGCACAGCCAGGCTGCCCTGGAGAACTGGAAGGGGAGAGCCCATTCAGATGCCGGTGTCTGCAGGGACCCTCGTGGGCTGTGTAGACAGTGGACAGGACACAGTCTCCCAATGTGGATGCCTGGAGTAGGGGACAAATCTGCCGTAGAGGTTTAGCTCTGGGGCAAGTTCCCAGGCCCCCTCACCCCCAAAGTGGAGCACAGGCCTGCTCATCCCAGCCCAGCGTGCGACATGGCGCAGTGGTCAGGGCACCCCGCAGCTGGTGGAGCGTGGTTAGAGGTGGCTGCCCTGCTCTTCACCAGGGTCTCCCCAGGAGTCGTGGTACCTGATACACTTGGGTGAAATTTCACCAAAAACGCCCAAGGACGGTCATGTTTTAAAGTTAGAATCAATATATGCGCCATTGAGCAAATTTTGAAGAAAAGGATTTTTTGAAAGACAAAAAACCTTCCATGATTCGGACTTGCTCCGTGATGGCGTGGGCGGCTAAAAGTGAAGGAAGCCGTAATTCATAGAGCAATTCCAACTCAAACACCGTCACCCTGCTGGCTCCCTGTGACAGAGCAGCGGCCTCCTGCCTGGCTGTCTTCCAGCGGCCCTGTGCTCCTGCCACCTCTGTCACCTCGCACCCAGAGCAGGGGCTTTGCCGTCCTCCCAGGGCCTGCATACATGAGTCCCAGGCATGAGGAAGTGAATTTTTACCTCATCTTCCCTCAACCAGGGAGGTGACCAGGGGCTGGTCAGTACCAGCCTCGTGGCCACTGTGGGCAGTTTTCTGGTCCTGGCCCCACCTGTCCATGCCTTGTCCCCTCCCCTCCAGTTTAGCTCTGCAGGAGGGCAGTGGGTGACCCGGTGGGGCTGTTGTCCCCGTGAAGCCCTTACTGTTCTCCAGACAAAAGGCTGTCTGTGTCCCGGAGCCTGGAAAGTGTAATTTTGCAGCCAGCGCCCATGATGAAGCATCTTCTCTGGGCGTGAGGAGATGGGCGTATAAATATTCTCTGTCTCTGCCGCTCTTTATTTCCCTGGTAAGCAGTTGCCCCATTTCTCCAGCTGATGGATTCCCCATCGCAACCAGGGTGGGAGCTGCCTGGCTCTGCAGTCCAGGCAGCAGCTTCTAAAATAATCCTCATGTCTTG